TTTTTTTTTTTTTTTTTTTTTTTTGCGGTACGCGGGCCTCTCACTGCCGTGGCCTCTCCCGTTGCGGAGCACAGGCTCCGGACGCGCAGGCTCAGCGGCCATGGCTCACGCGCAACCGCTCCGCGGCATGTGGGATCTTCCCGGACCGGGGCACGAACCCGCGTCCCCTGCATCGGCAGGCGGACTCTCAACCACTGCGCCACCAGGGAAGCCCCTGCATCTTGTTTTTTTCCCTCACATTTTACATGTGAGGTTTTCCATGCCTGTCTCTGTGGCACTAGTCAAGTGCTGCACACTATTCCACCGTATGACTGTGACCGATCTGTGTTAAGGGTGTTCGCACATCCTCCCATGGCTGGACACATAGGTTGTTTTGAACCGGGATAGGTTCTGAGCAGGTTAGGGACAGGGTCAAGATGGGGCAGTGGGTGTAGGAGTGCACGGGGGGCCTGGGAGGAAGGCTGCTGCTGCCGGGGCCCTGAGCTGGCTGAGCCATGTGCAAGAGCATCTCCTTTCCTGGTGGGGACGCCCCTTCTTTCCTCCCTGACCTCACCCTCGACACCTTAGCCATTGTTTCTCAAGCCTCCTGTTTCTAGAAACACTGTCCCAGCCTCTCTCCAGTCTCCATGGTCCCCGATCCCCCAGGGAGGCAGTCACCATGGCAACCCTTGCCTGGAACCCCCATGGCTGTGGGCAATCGATACCAGCCCCCCTCCCCATACACACACTATTCACACGCTGATTTCTCCGTCTTTCATCTTCCAAACTGGCCTCCACATGCCTAATCCCCAGAATGGCTCCATCATCCCCCCCAAAAACAATCCACCTCCCCCTCAAAACAAGGGCCTCCAATTTCCCTCCAGTTGAAGTCAACATTACCCAAACTGGATTTTTTTCACCCATGCTAGATTTGACATTCCCACGCTGGCTCCCATATCCACCCCTCAACTGGATCCCCCTCAAACCATTTCCAACATCCTCAGACCTGGCTGCAACAATTTCCCAAAACTGGCCCCGACGTCTTTCCCCTTCCTGGCTCCAACACCCACCTCTGCAAACTGACATCCTGCCCCCTCCAGCCCCCTCGTCTGCCTCCCAGTGCCCGGCCCCTGACTCACTTCCGAGGCATCCCTCAAGCCCCCAGCCTCCCAGCTGCTGCAGGATGTCTTGGCCACCAGAGCTTCCCTCTCTGGGCTCCTCCTTCTCTTCCTCACTGCCAGCCTTTCCCCAAAGTCCCAAACCCTCTGCCGGCCAGCCGACCTGTTTGCAGAAGTCATCACCTCCAGGCCTGTGTCTGTATCGGGGAACTGCCCTTACAAATTGTGTCCAGTACAGCCGCAATCCAGACCTTGCCGCCAAACAATTCTGTCACCAGCCCAGCCTGTTTCAGGCTCATCCACACCTTCATTCCCAACCTCATCCCATCTGCATCCCAACCCTTGTTCCAGCTCCATCTCCAAGACCCCACCTCATCCCTCTCTGGCCTCAGCCTTCCCACCTGAACTCAGAGCTTCCGACCCAATGACATCTTGTCTCTCCTCTCCCTTGGCGGTTCCAAGCTCTCCGTGACTCCCTGGCAACCTAGATCGTCAGAGTCCCCAAAGTCTTCCCTGCACCCTCCCCTGCTCCCCCATCTCCTCCCGCCACCCTCTTGCTGGTTGGCACCCTCTCGAGGTCAGGTCCTAGAGTTTCTCTTTGCCCCCAGCCTCTCCTGGCTTCAGGGCACACGTTCTCCCAAATTCTGGTCCAGCCCCCAATTCAGAGCGCCCCAGGGGCGTGTGAATCCTGCCCCCTCCTCCCACAGACTCACCTCCTTGTCAGTGTCCCTCTGTCCGTGCTGCTGTCCTATCCTGAGACTGCTTTAGCCAGGACTGCTGAGAGCTTGGATCTGAGGAGGGGGGGGGTTAGAGGAGGTCAATTTCCTGTCAGGAAACCCCTCCCTCTCTGGGGCCAGGGGCGGGAAGGACTTGTTATCTGTCTGCCCTATTCGGCCAGGCTGTGGTTGGGCTGGGAAGAAGGACAAGGCCGCAGTCAGGTTCCCACCCTCAGCCCCCACCCCCAGGCCGGAACTGGCACCCCACCCCCCCCCCCCGCCTGCTCTTCACACCTCCCAAGGTGACAACACCATCCTGGGTACCCCCGGAGACACCCCATGCTGGATGTGAGCCCGAGGCTCTCTCTTGTGTTCCCTGCTCTGGGGTAAAGACATGAAGGAAGGTTCTGCTGGGCCCAAGGGCTGGGATTGGAGCCCTAAGGGGGTGACCCTGGGCATGACTTTGGAATTGTGGTTCTCTCTGCCTAAAAGCCCCCGTCGCCAGGTCTCCATGACTTTGGAATTGTGGTTCTCTCTGCCTAAAAGACCCCGTCGCCAGGTCTCCATACACCCCCCACCCCCACCCCTGTTATCATCCAGGTCTCAGCTCCAGAACCCTTTCTTCAAAGTAGACATTCCCTGACCAGCAAAAGTACTTCTGCCAGCCCTGTACTCTCTCTCCCCAGGGGACATTGCTCTGATTTGCGAGTTCCTTTATAGCACCTTCTATAATCTGAAATGATCAAATCCCTCTGTCTCCCTGGTAGATTTTCTAACTGTCCCAATGGAATATAAATTCAAAGCAGATTTTGCTTACCTTGTTCATCTGCTATCCCTAGATGCGTGCCTGGCACGTAGTAGGTGCTCAGTAAAGATCTGTGAACTGATTGCACCAATGGGGATAGATCAGAGCTAAGGATTGGAAGTTGGGGGATAGAGATGGCAGGTCTGTTGGGACTGGGAATGGGTTGCAGGTTGGATGGGGTGAGATGCAGGGTTAGGGTGACTTTTAAGGCTGGGTTTTAGGTTTAGGTGGCCCTTTGGGGGCTCAGGCATAGCATCCCAGGTGTTTGGCCTGAGAGAATGATCACTTGCCTCAGCAAAACTGGGGTTGGGATGAGGTAGGGTTGACATTGGGGTCAGGGGCTGGGCTCAGGGATCACTGCTTTCCCCCAGCCCCAGCGAGGGCTCTGTAGACATTAGGTTGGGATAAGTGGATCAGGGGTTAAGATTCCAAGGTCTGAAGGCTTCAGTTCAAGGATTGGATTTGCCAGGCAATGGGCCCTGGGAAAGGGGCTGGTTTGCTGGCCTAGAGGGGAGGGGGAGAAACAGTTTATGTCCTCCCCAAATCAGTGTGGACCTGTGGTAATCGGAAGGCGGCCCGAGCTGGAACCAAAGTGGCCTGTTATGGGCCGTGGCCACTGTTGGATCTCTCCCTCTTTTTTTAACTTAATTTTTTTAGTGAGATAGAATTCACATGCCATAGAATTCACCCTGTGAATTGAAGTGTGTAAGTCAGTGGTTTTTAGTACATTCACAAGGTTGTGACAACCATCACCAGTATCTAATTCCAGAACACGGTCACCAAAAAGAAATCCTTGTAACCCATTAGCAGTCCTTGGCAGCCCTGAATCTACTTTCTGTCACTAAGGATTTCCCTATAAACGGAATCATACAATAAGTGGTCTTTTGTATGCTTCTTTTGTTAAGCATGATTTTTTAAGGCTCATCCATGTCATAGCCTCCCCTCTTTAAGCCTCAGTCTCCCTATCTGGGAAATAGGGTGGGGATGATACTGGGAACTGGGGAGCCAGTGTACATCCCGCAGTGTGGTGGGCAAACGTGTATAGGAAGGTGATCTTCTGCCCCCGTGTGGTGTGTCGGAGAACTGCAGCTCTCAGCGCTAGAGCTGGGATGGGATTGGGCTGATTCAGACCCCTATCCCCAAGACCCCACCCCTCATCCCGCAGAACCCTTGAGATCCCAGAGCTTCTAGAATAATATCCTGAACTCCTCCCTCTCTGCCTTGCACCCTCCCTGAGACTCCTCGGGCTCCATTTGCTGAATAATAACATCACCCATTTAAGAAATTCTAATCTGTTCCCACGTGAAGCACTTTACTTACATAGTCTCATTAATTTGTTGCAGACAGACTTTGCTGCTATTACCATCCAGGGATAGGGGACCGTAGTGGTTAAGAGCCCAAGTTCTGGACTTTGGCGAAACTTGTGTTCAAATCTCAGCCCTGCTGCTCACCAGCTGTGTGACCTTCAGCATGCTGTTTTTCCTCTGGAAGTGGGGGTGGTAAGGATGGTCCAATCTCATGGTGTGGCAGAAAGGATAAAGTGCTCAGAGCCTGGACAGAGGAAGCCTCTTGAGTCGATGTAGCTGATAGTATCAACCAGTGATATACTGGTAAATGTGTAACAACCAGCTCTCTGGGGAATGAGGGTGGAAAGCCTTGCTTTGTAGCACTTGCCAATTTCCATGGTGTAAATATTCCACCATGGCTAATTTCAAGCTACCAGGGTGACATCACTAAAAGCGTTTCGGGAGGAAGAGATGTGCAGTCACCCCTTACATAGCAGTTTCACTATGTGAATACAATAGATGTAAATAACCTCAGGATCACACATAGGAGTAAAAAGTAAAATAATGAGGACGTGATGAGTATTTATTATCTTTTTTTAAAATATAATTTATTTAATTGTATGTTTGCATACTTTAATTTTTAATAATGGCTGTTTAAAAACCAGTTCCAAAATCTCGGAGACTTCAAAACTCAGCTTGCTTCAGCTGGCTCCAGCACACTGCTGTTATTGTCACACCCATTTTTTAGAAAGGGAAACTGAGGCTCAGGAAGATGTTCAAACAGACAGGGGCAGGGCATAGGTCCCATGCAAGGGCTGTGTGATTCCCAGGCCAGGACAATGCCCCTCTTTCTTTCATCCCACCCTGATCTAGAGGGAATGCGTGGTTCCCAGGGCACTGTGTGATGTCAGCAACGCCCTTGGCCTCTCTGGTCTCAGTTTGCCCATCAGGAGAATACCTGCACTGAGTTCCTTTGCACCTACTTCAGCCCCGCTACGAAAGCAACATGCACATCCTCCCCCTCACTTTATAGACTGTGAAACTGAGGCCCAGAATGAGACCTGGGACCCCAGCTGGGGTGCAGAAGAGACGAGACTGCAACCTACCCTGAGTCACAGAGCTGGACAGAGTGAGACCTGGGACCCCAGCTGGGGTGCAGAAGAGACGAGACTGCAGCCTACCCTGAGTCACAGAGCTGGACAGAGTGAGACCTGGGACCCCAGCTGGGGTGCAGAAGAGACGAGACTGCAGCCTACAACCTTGGGGTCTGGAGTTTTCTGGGAGGTGGGAGGCAGCATTGCTAGATAGGTAGGTCACCCTTCCTCAGTGGCTCCGCCCATACACCATCCCCCCAGCATCCTTAGCCCTCGGTCCCCAGAGCTTCCTGGACTGGGGAGAGGGGGGCTGGGAGGGAGAATGTGGACAGCGCTGCCTGCGTGGTTCTTGCCTCTGAGGGCTTCTCAGTCAGTCCTGTCTCCATTCTCTTCACGGGTCTCTGCATCTCTGTCTCTCCCTCTGTCTCCGTGCGTGGGTCTGTCAGTCCCTGTCGCTCTCTGTGTCTCTGTCTCTCTCACTCTGTCTCTTTGTATGTGTCTCTCTTTCTACGTTTCTCCCTCTTTCTGCCTTTCTCTGTCTTTTGGTCTCTCCGTCCTTTGGCTGTCTTTTCATCTCTTTGTGTCTGTTTCTCCCCACCTCTGTCTATCTCTGTGTCTCTTTGTCTCTCTCTTTTTGAGCTTCTCTATCTCTGCGTCTCTCAGTATCTTTCTCTGCGTCGCTGGCGCTGTGCCTTGGCGTTTCTCTCTCTTCTCTTCCGGTGAGTCTCCACTCTGGTGAGAACACGCTCCCCCTCAACGCGCCCAGACCTGCCTCTGCCCTCAGAGCCCCCGGCCGGCCCCGGCCTGCGCCTTTAAGTGCCGGCAGTAGGGGGCGGGGTCTTGACGGCCCCGCCCTGCCCGCCCCTCCCCCTGACGTCCCTTCCTCCCCGGCCCCTCCACCGCCTCCCTCCGCCGCCGCCCGGGCCGGCTCCGCGCCCCCTCCCCGGCCCCCGCCCGCCCGCCTGCCCGCCGCCCCCATGGCGCCCCGGGCCCCCGCTGTGCGGGGCCACTAGGACCCTCGGCATCCCCTTCCCTGCCCCGCCCTGCCCCCTCTCCCACGGCGCGAACCCGGGTGTCCACGGCGCCCAGCTTTTGAGCTCGCGTCCCCAGGCCGGCGGGGGGGGAGGGGAAGAGAGGGGACCCCGGGACCCCCGCCCCCCCCCACCGACCCGGCCGCTCAGTCCCCCGAGACCCGGAGAAAATGTCTTCGCGGACGGCTCTGGCCCCGGGCAACGATCGGAACTCGGACACGGTGAGTGGGGCCCGGCCCCTTGGGGAGCCCCGGCTGGGTCCGGCCGCCGGACCCCTCGCCCTGCTGTGTCCCTCGCCGCGCGAGCCCCTACCCTCATTTCCCCGGCCCGGCCTGGCTCGCCACCCACCGACCCCCGCCCGGACTTCCAGGCCTCTCGACCCTCCCCCACTCCTCAGCCCAGCCCGACCCCTGGGGGCGCCCCTCTCGCGGGACCCCTGTCTTGTCCCTTTGCAGACCGCTTCCGCTCGGGTCTCTTCCCTCCAGGAAGCCCCCTCCCCTGCCTTGCAGGAGCCCCTCCCTTCTCCAGCGGGTTCTTAAGCCCCTTCCCCTCCAGGCCTCCCGCATCCGACAACTGGCCCCCTCCCGGATTTGCTGGGCTCTTGACCCTAAGGCCCAGCCCGGCCCTCTCCCAGGAAGGCCTGGCCCAGTCCTGCCTCTGCCTCTGGCCTTCCCCGTCTGAATCTGGGTGCCGGGCTCCCCAGGATCCCCCGTCCTCTCATTCCCAGCTTTCCGGCCCTGCGGGATCCTCCCGGCTCCTGTGGGCACCCCCTCACAGGAAGCCGGTTCCACCTTTCCTGGGCCGAGGGTCCTTTCTACCTTGTTCAAGGTCTCTCCACTTCCAG